GCTTTTGGACAACAGAAAGATTCAAAGCAACGGCCATTCTTTTCATCAAGTCCGCATAAGCATGCATGTCCAAAACGGAAGACATGGGGAGGGCTATGATGGAGGAAGTGTCCATTTGAACGACATCATATAGTGAGTCAGTAGACTGAGCAGGCTTTTGGACAACAGAAAGATTCAAAGCAACGGCCATTCTTTTCATCAAGTCCGCATAAGCATGCATGTTATCTGACGGTGAAATAGGCAGTTCATGGGCCACGTCAGGAGTGGGGGACGTGTGATCCGGAGACGTAGGTACTACAGAAACATCGGAATCTGAACCTTCGTCCACATCATCAGATGAATCCTGTTCTGAGTCAGTCTGAGGCGTGATATGGACAAGTGGCACTGCAGGCACCAATGGTTTAGGTGGTGGGACCACAAGTTGCGCCTCTGGCGTCAATGGTGGAGGATCGACTGGGGGCCTTGAAATTGTTGCAGTAGGCCGTGACCTAGCAGGTGACCAAGATCTGTGGTTGGAACGAACAGAATAACGGTCCCAGTCTTGATATGCAGAATGTTGGAGCCATGGCATTGGAGGGTGGTATGGCCCATAAAGGTATCTCATTTGCCTCTCATCCCATGAGAGAGGTGGACGATAGGATCGAGGAGAATGGCTTCTAGCCCTAGGATGTCCCTGCCCTTGGTATCGGGCAGTTCCGAGAGCATCGATGCCGATGAAAGAGATCTTGCGGGGGAAAACTCTGCACCTATTGGGTGACTTATGAGTTCCGCCGTATCGATATCGACGATCTCCGGTATCTGTTGGCTTAGAGATGAAGCCAGTAGACCAGAAGGTGACATTCTAGGAGGTTGTAGCTCCGGTATCGATACATCCTTCGATATCGACGCAACCGTGGATTCCGGCACTAACGGTGGCGGGTTCTGCAAAGGAACGCCCTGGGAGGGCCCAGTCTTACTCTCCTTAGACGGCTTGTCCTTCCTAGTAGAATGTTCTTTCACAGACTTTCCTTTAGTTGACTGCTTAGATTTTGAAGTGACTTTCGATGTCGATCTCGTCGGTATCGATGCTCCGGTATCGACAGCCGTTCGTGAGGTAGACGGCTGGTCCGCCATTGTAGACGACGGGTGAAGCGCAGATTCCAACAGAGCAACCTTCAACCGTGCGGCACGGTTCTTCTTCATCTGATTCGAGAATTTGGCACAATGCTTACACGTATCAGCTCTATGCGACTTGCCTAAGCAGAACAAACAAAGTTCATGGCCGTCCGGAGGAGCCAATTTACTTCCGCACTTCTTACAACGGTTAAAAAATCCCCACTTTGTATTCTTTTTCTTCTTCTTTTCCATATGGCAAGAAAAGGCAAATGCTGAGGAAAGGGCGTGAGGAGAAAGAAAAGGGGGGGTGGCCCAAAGGCCTGAGGAAAATTTCCCTCACGAAAATAAAAGTCCTTTCTTTTCTTTTTTTCTTGAAAACGAAAGAGAAGTCACACGGAGGACGAATCCGAAGAAAAGAAAAATTAAATAAAGGCCCGAAGGCAGCTACAACTATCCGGTCAGGAGGAAAGGAGGAAAGGCAAAAAGGGTCCTTTCAACGCAGCGGTAGAAAGAGAACTGGCGGCGAGGTCGCGCCGGTCCTTCTGGGCATGCGCAGTGGGGTTCCTGCGCATGCCTGGAGAGGCTCGGCGCGAAAATCCGTTGAAATATAGCTTGCTACAGCACCGGTTGGGTCAGTGCGTGCGCACTAAACCCATTGGTGTGAAGCACAGAGACCACGAAGAAGATTGTTGGTTTGTGCCCATAAGGGCAGGAAGACACAGTGATTGAGCGTTGCCACTGTGTTTCTGGTGATGACTTAAGAGAGGATCTGCGAGACCATGGCTTGTTCCAGGATTTCGCTATCGATAGTTTAGGAGCCGACGTGACCCCTAAATTCCGTGATGTCTTTATACTTTTGTCTAGGTCTTGCAGGACTGTATCAGTCGTGGCACTGAAGAGGCCCTCACCCTCGAAAGGGTGGTCTTCAATGAGAGTCCTGGTGTCCTGCGGTAAGGCAGTAGAACGCAACCAGGCATGTCATCGGAGGGTAACTGCTGAAGTCAGCGTTTTGGCGGCACATCCAGTGTTTGCTTAGCTGCATTGAGCTGGTGCTTGGCCAAAAGCATTCCCTCCTTCTGAATCCTGCGAGCCTGATGGTTAAGAGTCCTCAGGGAGGGCTGCAATAAATTCGGACATCTGCTCCCAGAAAGCAAACATATCTGCCCATACATGCAGTATAGTTTGACGTCTTGATGCCAAGTGCTCCAGCAGCATAAAATTTTCTTCCAAATGAATCAAGTTTCCTTCCTTCTTTCTCGGGAGGGGTGGAATGACTGTGTCTGCCTTTGGAAGAGGAAGTGACTATGATGGAATTAGGTTTAGGGTGGGTGAATAAACATTCAGCACCTTGCTCCTGCACCTTATACATATGATCTACTCTCAGGCTCGAGACAGGGTAGATGCCGGGTGAGACCATGAGAGTTTGGCCGCCTGAAGCAGGACCGAGGTCATCGGTAAGGCTATCGGGGTAGAGGTGTCCATCTGTATGATATCAAACACAGAGTCCATTACAGTAGGCGGAGGCTGCACCATAGACAGGGTCAACGTGTTTGCCATCCATTTGATAAAGTCCCCATAAGATTTTAGATCCTCTGATAGAAAAATCAGAAGATCATCACCCACTTGTTGAGGTGGCAAGGGTTCCATCTGAGGGTCGGAGTTTTCATCTCCTGATTGGGAGGAGGTGTCGGAAGAGATGGAATGATCAGACGGTTCGGAAAAGGAAATAGGCAACATCTGTGTCGATGGGATCGGGTCCGATGGCCCTTTAAACTTGGGAGCTATTGGAGGCGGTGGTTTGGAAGGTTTGTCCATCGGTCTCAACGGTTGAGGCCGCACAAACTCCGGCATCGGTGGAGGATCTCGATACCAAGAGAGCCGGGAGGAGGTAGACTGACGGTCCCAATACACAGGTTGGGGTGGGAACCACGGCATGCCACTCGAAAATGGATAGGCATACATATATTGCCACTGCCGCTGATCTCAAGGGGGTGGCAGTGGATGGATCTGTGCCGATGGCCGTTCTCGATCATCGGGTTGGAATGGTGAAGGACGGGCAAAGGTGTCGGCTCCACGGTCAGAATGTAGGCTTTCGACACTAGAAGACAGGGAGATCTGTGTTAAGTCCATATCGTGCTCAGAGTCAGTGAGCTGGATAGGACGCAGCGAAGGCGACCGCAGTACACCTTGTGGCTGCTCTCGACTTGAGGAGTCAAGTGAAGCAGCCCCTGCAAGATTCGTGCCCCTCCGAGAAGACAGTGGAGTTTGCATAGGGGGAGTTTTCTTATGCTTTTTTAGCTTGACTGGCCGATCCTCCTTGCCCTCCCTGTGTTTTTTGAAGGGAGTATGGACTTTGGACTGAGATGTCTGGGCCAAGCGTTTCAGCATCAGGCGGTCAACATCCGAATTAGTCGGTATCAGGGACAGCGCAGCCATCGATGTCGAGGCGACAGTCGACATTGACGCATGCCCCGAAGTGTCCTGTGACAACATTGGTGAGAGCACCAACTCCAAAAGCGCGACACAAAGTCTAGCAGCTCTGTTCTTTTTCATCTGTTTCGAGAACTTTCCGCAATATACACAGGAGTCCACTCGGTGTGATTCCACAAGGCACAGCAGGCAATGTGAGTGTCTGTCGGGGGCCGGGGGGGGCCCCGTGATTTTACTACCGCGCTTGAAGCACCGTTTAAAGAAACCCCATCTCTTGGCCATAGGCTGGGGGGGGGGGAAATATGGTCTGCAAAAAAGTGACCAAACAACAAAGTCCGAAAAGAACGAGTCTATAGTAATAAAGTCCTTTCACTTTAGCGAAACAAGAAAAACAAGGAAAACTTCAAAGAAAAAGAGGAATAGGCCTTAAAGCCAAAACTTTTACCGACCAAAGCGGATAAGATCCTACCAGCGCAGCGGTCCGAAGAGAACTGGCGGGATTGTCGTGCCCCTCCCTTAGTCATGAGCAGTGGGGCTGGTGCGTGACTGGGCAGCGGGCACAAAAATCCCTTTTGCTTTTCAAGAGGAACCGATCGAGGTTGGTGCAGGCGAACTATACCCAGAGGTGTGATGCACAGAGACCACTAAGAAGATTATACAGACATTTTGCAGTACTGTTCTTGTTTCATTTAGCGCCTTGTGGACAGCCTCTTTTTGGGACAAACCTGAACATTCTAAATTTTTCCGCTCAGCCTCCATGCTGTCAATGTCATCCAATGTGGGTCTGAGTGAAAGATGGAGACCTGGCTGAGGCTGCAGTGCAATGCGACAGCGAAGGAAGCTAATGCAGTCTTAGGATGCATTAACGGAAGCATTGTGTCCAGATCACGGGAGGTGGTAGTTCCGCTCTGTTCTGCTATGGTCAGGCCTCACCTGGAGTCCTGTGTCCAGTTTTGGGCACCACATTTTAGGAAGGGTGTTGACAAGCTCGAGCGTGTCCAGAAGAGGGCAACCAGGATGGCGAGAGGGTTGGAATCCAAGTCTTACGAGGAAAGACTGAGAGAGTTGGGTATGTTTAGCCTGGGAAAGAGAAGGCTTAGAGGGGAAATGATTGCTGTCTTCAAGTATCTGAAGGGCTGTCATGTAGAAGATGGTGCAGATCATTCTCTCTTGCTCCGGATTCCAAGACTAGGTCTAATGGGTGGAAATTACAAGTGTGTCGATACCAGCTAAATATCAGGAGAAACTTCCTAACTGTAAGAGTGGTTGAGCAGTGGAACAGTCTGCCTCGGGAGGTGGTGGATGCTCCTTCGCTGGACGTTTTCAAGCGGAGGATGGACGACCATCTTTCGAGTATGTTGTAGGTATGTAAGGCTATCTTTCAGCTATGCTCCTGCAGAGTGCAGGGGGTTGGACTAGATGACCTGCAAGGTCCCTTCCAACTCTAACATTCTATGATTCTATGAACTACTCACCTAAGGAAAGAGGAATGCTAACTACCAGCTCCTGCTCCGCATCTTCGTTCTCTGCCTTGCAAGGCCCAGACGTTCCTGGCTGGAGACTTGGACTGGCCACATCGGAGGTCTCTGCCTTGATACTGACAGGCTGGGAGCTCACAGCAGCCTCTCCTGGAAGGAAAACAGAATAGTCAAAAACGGAAACAAAGAATTCCTTTGAGGTATTCAGTTCAACACTGACCAAGGCACTAAACCCAATTAGAAAGGTTACCTGCAGATCAGAATTACAGAGATGGGACATAGTGGCCATGGGAGATTTCACTTATTCTGATATCTGTTGGGAGTTTGAACTCTGCTAAATACGAAAGGTCTAATAAATTTCTGACTCGTCTTCCGGACAAGCTTCATTTTCGAGAAGGTGGAGAAGGAAACAAGGACCTGATTCTCACCCACAGGGAAGAAGGGGTTTATGAGGTGAAGGCAGTGGCCCCCCCTGGGTAGTAGTAACAATGTAATTTTGGAATTTAAGGTCTTGGGGAAGGGAAAAGCTGCGTCAACAGCCTAAAATAGTGTCCAGATCACTCAAAATGATGATATAATTTTACTCTGCTGTCATTAGACCTCACTTGGAGTACCGTGTTCAGTTTTGGCATCGCAGTTTAAGAAAGAGAGGAGGAGGAGATTGGATTTATACCCTACAGCCCTTCACTACCCAAGGGAGTCTCAGAGCGGCTTACAAACTCCTCTCCCTTCCCCTCCCCGCCACAGACACCCTGTGAGGCAGGTGGGGCTGAGAGAGCTCTTGACAGAAACTGCTCTTTTTCAAGGACAGCTCTGACAGAACTATGGCTTGCCCAAGGTCATCCAGCAAGTGCAAGTGGAGGAGCGGGGAATCAAACCCGGCTCTCCCAGATTAGAGTCCGTGCACTTAACCACGACACCAAACTGGCTCTCAAAGTATGCTGACCAGCTGGAAAGCATCCAGAGGAGGCTGACAAAGATGGTGAGGGGTCTGAAGACTAAATCCTATGAGGAAAGGCTGAAGGAGCTGAGTATGTTCAGCCTGGAAAGAAGACAACTGAGAAGCATTACAATAGCCAATCTTCAAGTATTTGAAGGGCTGTCACATAGAGGATGGAGCGGAGTTGTCTTCCACTGCCCAAGTAGGTCGGAGAGGAACCAAAAGGTCTGAGATCAAATCAAAAGTGTTCTTGGCGAAATATTAGAAAAGGACTTCCTGACAGAGCAGTTCCCCGGTGGAACAGGCTTCCTCCTGAGACAGTGGGCTCTCCTCCTTGGGAGGTTTTTAAGCAGAGGCTAGATGGCCACCTGACAGCAGTGCTGATTCTGTGAACGGAGGCAGATCCTGAGAGGGAGGGCAGGAGGGGAGGAGCCAGTGCCCGGCTCTCGTGGACCCTTCTTATATGCCCAGGGGAATGCCGATGGCCACTTTGGGGACAGGAAGGAATTCCCCTCCAGGCCATATTTGGCCCCAGGATCTTGGGAGGGGTTTTTGCCTCCCTCTGGGCATAGAGCAGGAGTCGCGGGCAATGCTCCCTGTAAGCTGCGGAGTCTTGTGAGCAAAGATTCTACTTTGTGAGCTGCTGGCATTAAAGTCGTGAGCGAGCGTAAATTAGTTTGTCCTGGAGCCATCCTTCCTGAGCTAAGACAAAAATGTGTGAGCTGGAGGCTAAGAAACTGTGAGCTAGCTCACACTCACTCAGAGGGAACACTGGCCACGGGGGATGGTTACGGGAGGGAGGTTGTTGTGAATTTCCGGCATCGTGCAGGGAGATGATGACCCTCAGGTCCCACCTCCCGCTCTGTGCACCTATGATCAAACAGGTGAGTGAAACCCCCACACGCATATCCCTCCACATCTACGGCTCAGCCCCCATAAACACTCACAAATCCATCACCAATTCCTCACCTGGGCAAGGAGGAAGGCTTCCAAGTACCAGCTTCTTTTTCACACGGTTCTTGTCCTTGTGGGTTCCAGACATTCCTGTTTGGGAACTTGAACTGGCCACGCCAGATTTTTTTGCCTTCCTCTTCACAGGCTGGGAGCTCGCAGCAGCCTCCCGTGTGCTCCTCCGCATACTTGACGCTTCCTCGGTAGACGAGACCGTTCTCTCCTCCCATGTTGCAGTTTCCCGACTAACGGGAGAGCCTGGAGAGGCGGGAGGAAGTGATCCAACACCTTCTTTGAGTTCCTTCCCTGCTGCCTTCCCTCTAAGCTGGCACAGGTGAGCGAGAATCCCATTCTTCATGTCTTCCACAAACATGTCAAGGCCCGCGTCAGACAGCGTCCCTTGATCAGTATAAAACTCGGGGTCTTCAGATAAAAGATCAGGGTGTTTAATCACAGCGCCCCCGTGGTCTTTGACAACCCGTGCCACGTTGTGGTTCGTATTCTTGAGTAACCAGTACTGCAGCACTCCTGGCCATGGCGTTATCTCTGACCACACCACTTTGACGTTTGGGAAAAGTTCCTTAACCAGGAACAGTTCCCTTTGTATGATTTTAATTAGGAAATTGACGCACGGGGTGTACATTAGATCATTCTCTCCGACGTGGATGATCAACACATCTGGGGGCCAGTAATAAGTTGCCAGATCCTGCAAGAAGGGAATGAGCTGAACCCACATCATGCCATCCCATCCGTGCCACTCCAGAACGATCTCCTCCTCCAGCCCCAGCTGGGACCCTATGCTGGTGGTGGCTGCCCGTTCTTGGGCTATGTCTATCAAGGAGTGCCCACAGATCCAGACGCGAGGCTTAGAGGGTTGCTCGGGAGATCCTGCAGAAAATTGGAAGGGAGACGTAAGACACAGAAAGTGAGCCCATGCAAGGAAACAGATTAGGTACTGGCGAGAGGAGGAGGAGGAGGAGGAGGAGAAGAGGAGGAGATTGGATTTATACCCCGCCCTTCACTACCCAAAGGTGTCTCAGAGGGGCTTACAAACTCCTTTCCCTTCCCCTCCCCACAACAGACACCCTGGGAGGTGGGTGGGGCTGAGAGAGCTCTTGATAGAAACAGCTCTTTTTTCAAGAACAGCTCTGATAGAACTATGGCTTGCCCAAGGTCATCCAGCAGGTGCAAGTGGAGGAGTGGGGAATCAAACCCGGTTCTCCCAGATTAGAGTCCGCTCACTTAACCACTACACCAAACTGGCTCACTTGTGCCCTCAAAAGTCCATTTCAAGCACACCAGAAAGGGAAGGTATCAGCCAAAGAATTTTTCCCTTTGATTCCAACTGTACAAAGACACAGAGCCCAATTCTACTCTTTTATTGATGTCAGAAGTTCACCACGGAAGATTCTCCCCCACACCTCCAGCAGGCAGTGTCATCCAACAATTACTCACCTGAGCAATGAGGAATGTTTCCGAGTACTGGCTGCGGCTCCACATCTTTGATCTCTGCCTTGCGGGTTCCAGATGTTCCTGGTTGGGGGCTTGGACTGGCCACGCCAGAGGTTTCTGCCTTGATGCTCACTGGCTGGGAGCTCACAACAGCTTCTCCTGTGCTCGTCTGCACACTTGATGCTTCCTCTGTAGAAGAGACCACTTCGTCCTCCCGTGTCTCAGCCTCCTGATGACTCACAGAGGCGAGGCCAGCGGGAGCAGATGGAGAGGCAGGTGGAGGCAGGCTCATGCCTTCTCTGAGTCCACCATCTGTCGCTCTGTGAGACTGGAGCACGTAAGCAAGAATCCCATTCCTTATATCTTCCAAAAATATGTCAAGGCCAGCAGGAGACAGATTAGCTTCATCAAGATACAACTTGGGGTTTTCGGATACAATTGTAGGGTGTTTAATCACATCGCCCCCATGGTCTCTGACAGAACGCCCCATGAATCTGCTCATTCCTATCCGTTTGAAATCTTTATGTCCATGCTGGACGTCCTGTGAGATGATCTCTGAGCAGATCACTCTGGAATGGGGGACAGGTGTTCTAGACCTCCCCATCTCTGTGTTCATTACTGTCGATCTGCAATATTCTCCTTGTTCACGCTCGATGCCCTGTGGGATGACCTCGGACCAAATCACTCTGACTCCGGGGAAAAGTGTTCTAAGCAGGGACCACTCTGTTTTCATTCTGCTGGATAAGCAACGGTCATAGGCGCGCACTAAATCGTCCCCCCCAAAATGAATGATCAACGCATCCGGGGCCTGACACCAAGTTACTAGATTCTGTACGAAGGGCAGGAGCTGAATCCACGTCAGTTCTTCCTGCCCGTGCCACTCCAGGACGGCGCTCTGCTCCAGGCCCAGCTGGGAGCCTGCTGCCGTGCTAGACGCCCGCTTCTGGGCTGAGATGACCATGGAGTCTCCGCAAATCCATACTCGAGGCTTGGGGCTGCTTCCAGGACTATCAGAGCTGTGTCCAGAGCTTCCTGCAGGAAAATGAGGGGAGGGAAACGTGGTAGTCAATCAGCAGCAACTGTCTTAAGCTCGAGCATAAGAGTTGCGTATCAGGAAAAACGCAAAGGATCGATTGCTTCTGAAGGCAAAGGGCTGTCTCACCCTGGAGGGCCCACAACAGGACCTGCTCAGCCATGCTCAAAAAACGTGACGCCGACATCACTCCTCTGCTGCCTTCACTACGGCACTGGCCGAGACCATTCTTACTCATTGAGGCATTTACCTCCTGCCTTCCCTCGTGGTTCAAAGAGGCTTTCGGGGCAGTTAAAAACATTTCGACTTAAAACCAAAAATTAAACAGTAGAATCCAAAACCTCTCCCCCCTCTAAAAAATGCCCCCCAATTCCAACTCCCTCAAAAGCCCTGACAACCTGAAAAAGGACGGGCCTCCTTGGTGGTGCCACCAAAGCTTTGGGACTCCCTCCCCCAGGGAGATGCATCTGCCTCCCCCTGAAGATGAAGATTTATCTGTTCCGTTTGTCATGCCTCCAGTAGCGGCCCTCCTACTGGTGCTGTTTGTTCAAGCGTTTTTAGTTGATTTATTTTATAATTTTAAATGTATTTTTCTTTCTCAATTGTTTTAATGTTCTTTATGTTCGACACCTTATGGAACCTGATTGGGGCATAACATTTTTTTCAAATAAATAAATAAGACTCAAAATAAGGAAAGACCAAGGGTCCTGTAGCACCTTAAATACTAACAAAATTTGGAGGAAAGCGATGGCAAATCTTAACAGCATAATAAAAAGTAGAGACGTCATTGTTAAGTCGTGAGCTTAACAAGAGTCGGAGAGTGATTTCAGCAAGAATGCGGCTTTATTCTTCAACCTCAATACTTCTCCAACACGGTACATCAGTCAGCCAGAACAGCTTTTGCATAGGAGCTGTTCTGTATTTAAACATTCCCGGCTAATGTAGCCACGCCTACTGTACAATTACCAACCTATCAGGTTGAACAGATAACGACCAATCACAAGCGCTCCCACTCTGTAAAGTGATTGGATGACACATCCTGGGCTAGTGTTCCTATTGGTTACGTTAGGATCCTAGTCCAGGCTGAAGCTTAACATTACAAGTTAATGCAATGGTTCACATTACATCCAGCACATGTATTCCAATACATTACAGTCATCCTGCCTACAGAAGTCCGCATGGTCAAAGCAATGGTATTCCCAGTAGTCATGTATGGCTGTGAGAGTTGGACTATAAGGAAGGCCGAGTGCTGAAGAATAGATGCTTTTGAATTATGGTGCTGGAGAAGACTCTTGAGAGTCCCCTGGACTGCAAGGAGATCACATCAGTCGATCCTAAAAGAAATCAACTTCCCTGGAAAGCTAGATGCTGAAGCTGAAGTGCAAATACTTTGGTCACCAAAGGAGAAGGGAGCACTCACTGGAGAAGACCCTGATGCTGGGAATGATTGAAGGTAAAAGAAGGGGACACAGATGACAGGAGGGCCTGGCGTGATGTGGTCCATGGGGTTACAAAGAGTTGGATTCGACTGTGTGACTGAACAACAGAAAAGAGCTTTCGTGAGTCACCACTTCTTCAGATACAGCTAGAATGTGAGTCCATCTGTCCTTCTATCTTGCAGAGTCATTCGACATTGAAATCACACCACTCTCCAAGACAGAAGGACAGATGGACTCACGTTACAGCTATAGCTGAAGAAGTGAGCAGTGACTCACAAAGGTCATACACTGCCGCAAATTTTGTTAGCCTTTAAGGTGGTACTGGTCTCTTTGCTCCTTCCTACTCCTATGGACAAACTAACACTACTATTCATCTAGTGGTCTTCAGGCTCACATATGCGAGACTGCACAGAAGCCACAAAATTGAACTGCCCATTTATACTCACTCTCTGTTTCCTGTTAATTAACCAGCTTTTATTTATTTATTTATTTATTTGGATTTTTACCCCGCCCTCCCCGCGAAGCGGGCTCAGGGCGGCTTACAAGGGGCAAAGCCCATATAAAACAAGGTAAAAGCAATAAAAACATTAATAATAATTCATCACAATAGTACTCGCTTGAAAGCAAGATGGTCCCTGGGTAAATACCAGGATGGTAAACAGACCGTTCTCCGGAGATAATATTGTCCTATAGCCGATCCCAACCAGATAAATCCGATGGTATCAGTCATGCAGAAATTATGGTAGATCTTCCCGGGCTGTCCTTAACCCCGATGTTGTCCACCTCACTGATGGCGGTGGTAGTGGCGGCCCCTATTTTTAATCCACAAGAGGACTTGTCCTCTTATCCCATGACTGCTGAGTTTATTTAGGAACCTTTGATGAGCAGCTTTATAAAAAGCTTTTTGGAAGTCTAGGTAAACAACATCTATTGACTTACCCTTGTCCTCCCAAGAACTCTTAACAGGTTAGTGAGACAAGATCTTCCATTACAGAATCCATATTGATTCTTCCTCAGTAGTTTTTGTTCATCAATGTACCTACTAATTCTAATTTAGTAACGGATTCCACCAACTTACCTAGTATCAACATTAGACTAACTGGCCTGTAATTTCCCAGATCTCCTCTGGAACCTTTTTTAAAGATGTGGGAAACAGAGACTGAGTATAAATGGGCAATTGCCGTGATTGCTTCACATTGTAAGCATTTTTTTAAAATAAGGGTGGTGGGTTTCTTTGCACCATGAAGGTGAAGCCGAAAAAAGTGAGGTCTTCGTTCATGCAGTGTCTTCATTCTTTGCTCCTCAGAAACAGAAACATATCCCTAAGACCTGACACAAAGACCTCTGGCAACTCTTCTCTCTCTGGTGGAAAACAGAGGACATTTCCTGTTTGCATGGCACAAAAACAATACAATCCTTTTGCCTCACATTCCAATAAACTCATCTGGCCTGCACGGCTTGCAGGTGGATGCAAAAAGGTGAATGACAAGTTCTCTGCAGCCTTACCGGAAACGTGGAATGCCCATTACCAGGAGTCATTGCCTGCTGAAGCGTGCCAGAGCAGCGCTCCGGCAGTAAGGAGAAGAAGAAGAAGAGATTGGATTTATACCCCATGGCCCTTCACTACCCAAAGGTATCTCAGAGCGGCTTACAAACTCCTTTCCCTTCCCCTCCCCACAATAGACACCCTGTGAGGTGGGCGGGGCTGAGAGAGCTCTGACAGAAACTGCTCTTTTTTTCAAGAACAGCTCTTATCAGAACTACGGCTTGCCCAAGGTCATCCAGCCAGGTGCAAGTGGAGGAGTGGGGAATCAAACCCGGTTCTCCCAGATTAGAGTCCGCGCACTTAACCACTACACCAAACTGGCTCTCTGGGGAAGGAAAAGAAAGACATTTTAAACATGCCTGGGTTTCCTGCCTGATGTCTGCCTGCCCGCCCTGCCCTTGCCTTCTCCAGCCAACCCTGGGGAAGGGGAGGCGGGCAGACATGCCCCCTTTTCCCCCTGAGCCTCTCCGCTTTTGCAGAAAAACTCAGGGAAGTTGGGGGGATTTAAATGCCTAAAGATGGGGAAGGAAAGAAAGGCATTTTAAACATGCCCGGGTTCCCTACCCGATCTTGAGAAGATCGGGCAGGTAACCCAGGCACGTTTGCATGCCTGCCCTTTGTCGGGGGTGTGGCATATGCAAATGAGATATGCAAATGAGCTCCTGCACCGCTTTTTCTATGAAATGACCCCTGCCCATTACCATGCTTCACTTGCCATGGGAGAAGCCAACCAAAACGCTTTCCAGGCCTGCAGAATAAGGGGCCGGCCTTCGCCCAAGAAAATGTGATAAGGATTAGTGACAGCCTGGCCCTTTGGTGATCTCCCTGAGCAGCCTTTGATGGAAATCTCAACAAGCAGCATTCAGTGATGACAAAAGCACATAAATAACACCACTATGCGAAAAAAGAAAAACTCTCACTTGTACAGAAATGAAATGTTCGAAGTATGTCTTTCTGCTCCTTGGAAGACGACACCACGTGATCCCCTTCTACCGCAACCTCCTGCCTCGTGAAGACCAGGCTGGCAGAATCAGCTGAAGGGGCTAATGGAGAGACATTCCTGCCTTCCTTGAGTCCACCACTGGCTGTTCCACTAGACTGGAGCACATGAGCACGAATTGTGTCCTTTATGTCCTCCAAAAATAGCTCAAGGCCGATGTGAGACAAACCACTTCCGTCTACTTTCAACACAGGGAAGCTGTTTGAAGTTTCAACATGCTTGATCACTGTGCCCCCGAAGCCGGAGACAAATCCCCCCACGACCAAGTTCACTTCCTGCAGCACCTGCTCCACTTTGGAAGCGTCTCCTTCTGCAGGGCGGATGTTCTGCAGCAGCATCTCTGACCACATCAGCCTGACTTTGGGGAAGACTTCTTTAAGTAAGACCAATTCTTTTTTAATTATTCGTCTTAACTCAGGCCATGGAGTACTCCGGAAGTCATTCTCCCCCAGATGAATGATCAGCACATCTGGGGCCTGACCCTGAGCTGCCAGCTTCTGCAATGTGGACACCAGCTGAGTCCAGGTCAGGTCTTCCTGCCCGTGCCACTCCAGAATGATGCTCTGCTGCAGCCAATCCAACTGTCCGAAGTGTTGGTTTTGCAAGTCCCATTTCTGGGCGGAGACTACCAGAGAGTCTCCACAAATCCATACTCGAGGCTTAGCAACTTGCTTGCCAACCACTGCAGAGAATTAAAGGGAGAAAAAAACACATTAACTTCATACTGGAAGTTCAAGCTTCTGAATTAGGCACCGTGTCAGGGTCCTTAGTAAGGTTACGCAATACAGGGCTTCATGAGAAGATAACTGTTTATTGGTAGATCCAGTACTAGAGACACGTGTACAGCTTGTGTCAGGAATGTCCACCAATACTAGGGCCTTTGACTTATACTAGAATCAACCATCCCCCCTGTAAGCATTAGCCAATGGATACATCTCGCGCACGCGGACAAAGCAAGCAGGCAAAGCAAAAAGCCGTTAACTTTCCCAGCCAGGTAAAACTGCAGCTGGAGCATCTACAAGGTCAAGTATAAGATAGCCAACAGTTGGTGAGCCAGGGAGAGCTGAGACAGAAAACGGGAGGGCACCCCTCCACGTTTCAGACCTGTGACAGGGCTACCTGACACACAGATAGGCATGCATGTGACCTGGGCCTCCTGCCACCAGCAGGCCCCTCATCGGGAGGATGGAGGTCCGGGAAGGGGGAGTATTGGAGCTTGACTCGTGCTGGCAGGCAGGTACTTACCTTGTAGGGTGGTTTGGTACCACTCTGTTAGGGCCCAGTCCATGCTCTGGGGCCATCAGGGGGGCTCAACTTTCTCCTGTACTCTGGTTTAAATTGGGATGCTGGAGAAGCGAACTCCAGGAGCTCCTGTGCCATGTGGAGTACATTGCTCCCCACAGCACAGAAGATCCTTGGCTTGCTGTCTCCTGCCCAGGCAGCTTGTCTGCCCCCACCCCCAAACAGCCTTCTTCTGGGCATGTGGCCTGGGGCTCCTCTGAGGTCCTCCCACCACCAGTGCTATGGGGAGGGGACTGTGGTGTCCCATCTCTTTCTTTCACTCCTCTCTCCCCAGCTATTTGCTTTCTTGCCACCTCTACCCTTCCTTCCACTCCTCTCTCCCCATCTATTTTCTTTCTCCCTTCCTCTCTCGCTAAAATGGGCCCAGTGCTGAAATTGGAAGCTCAAGCTCTGCTGTGTGAGTTGGTGCATGCAAACTTATGGCATTGGCTTGCATTACTAAATCATCCTGCTTTGTGTAGGATGTACAACAGCCAGGTGAAGAAGGGGAGGGGTGTCATTCTTTTTTTTTTTTGAAAGTTTATTTTCATTTTCCACCACCAATAAAAATTAAAACCATATCCATTTAAAACTCATATGCATTTCAAAATAACAAATACATCTTGCAAATTTAACAACTGTTGTCTTCTACTAGCGTGTATTTAATTCTAATTTATCTTTTTCATCTTCAGCCAGTCGTAAATTATTTTCCATCTGTCCCAAAAAAGTTCCTCTGGCTTATTTTGTAGTAATATGTTTAATTTGTCCATTTCAGATATCTCAATCAACTTATTTATTTATTTATATTTATTTATTTATATTTGCATTTATATCCCGCCCTATCCCGAAGGTTCAGGGCGGCTAACAGGGGCACCAAGTGCCAAGTAAAACAATATCATATAGTTTAAAAGAACATATAATTAAAACAATCACATATAGTTTAAAACCATAAATTACAGTCAAATACAACAAACTTCAGCAAGAGGGAAGATCTTAACCTCACCTAGCCACCGACAGTCTCATACTCAAAGCCGTTTCCAGTGCCACGATCCACCCCTAGGGGGCGAGGCAATCAGATGTTAAATTCGCTAGGGCATAGAGATGCAGATGGAATGATGGCGGCGGCTCCTATCCAAAGGCCTGGCGGAAGAGCTCCATCTTGCAGGCCCTGCGGAACTGAGAAAGGTCCCGCAGGGCCCGGATCTCCTCCGGGAGCTCTTTCCACCAGGTAGGAGCCGCCACCGAAAATGCCCTAGCCCTAGTCACAGCAAATTTAGCTTCTTTCAGGCCTGGAATTTCCAGGAGATGCCTCCCTCCTGACC